TTTTATTTAACACTTGACTCATTAATTAATATAATTATATTATTTATTAACATAAATAATTAAAATATAATTATATTATTTATCTCTAAAATTTAATTTATTAGTTGATATTTTTAACTTTATTGAATATTACTTAACATTTAACACATTACTTAACATAATTATATTATTCACTCTTTATTTAAATGATTTAAATATCTAATTTAGCTAAAAAAAATAATGTGGACATCCTTTTGGGTTTACAAAAGTATTTCACATATAATTATAAAATATTTTAGAGATTAGCCTTCCAAATAAAGAAAAGTGGCTTGAAATTTTGAGGAATATTCATTTGCTCTCATTATTTGAATGCAATTTGCTGCTGGTGAATCCAATAAGTCTAAAACTTTAGTGTTATTTGCAGGATGTTTTTATGAACATCTTAATGTGGTGGGAGGATTTTGATGGAAAGGTTCCAGCTCCTGCAATTTTGAAGCCATTGCCTCAAATTTTCTACTGTATTTTTTAGTTAAAATTTTACTTTTTTCCTCATCCAAATGAAAGCTAACCTGAATCTTAGGCTTGGGACTTGAAAAAAAAATTGGGTTTTTGGGGAAATTGACAATTCAGAATTCTCATCTTCAATTAATTTTTTTATTTGAGAAACTTACTTAAATTAGTATGTAACAGATGCAGGCTTTGTAATTCTATTTAATAAATGCTTTAGAAGTTCATGCTAGTAGTTCCCATGGAATGGGTGCAATTGCCACTCAATGAACAAGGGCCTAGTCCACTGGAAAATTTCAGCCAAGTGGTTCTTATTGTTGAAATTCACTTTCAGCAACAAGAATCATGTTGCTGAAAGTAAAGAATACTTTTTGGGGGGGAAGTGTACTATTTAAGTATCAGTAATATAGGTCTTGTTGGTGAAAACCCATATCACTAACATGCTCCCATGTTACTAATTAATTTATGGAATTGATGCAATACCCGGTCATGAACAATAACTAAAAAATTTCAACAACGTGGGCCTTATCGGTGAAAATCCATATCACCGACATGCGCCCATGTTGCTGATTAATTTATGGAATTGGTGCAACATCTGGTCATGAACAGTAACCAAAAAATTTCAGCAACATGGTTCTTGTTGCTGAAATTGAATTTCAGCAACAAGAACCATATTGCTAAAAGTAAAGAACACTTTTTGCTAAAAGGTGTATTATTTAAGTATCAGCAACGTGGGTCTTTATGGTTTTAAATTTCTGTTGTGTGTAATTTTTTGTTTTGTAGAAGGGTTGGAGTACCCCTTGTATTCCATATAAATTTAATACATTTAATTTGCTGATAAAAAAAATTTAAGTATCAGCAACATGGGTCTTGTCGGTGAAAATCCATATCACCGATAAGCAATTTCATGTTACTGATACTTAGTTGCTAAAAAAAAGAATTTTAGCAGAGTATTAATTAAAAATCATGGCCAAAAATTAAAAATTTAAAAAGATAAATTTATCAATAAAATTAAAAAATTTTAATTCACTAATGATTTGATATAAAAAATTAAGATAGTTTTTTTAATTTGTTAATAATTGGATTCTAACTACTATCCGTTAGTCTCAAATCGCTAAATAAAAAGTTTTACCAAACATCTAATTTATAACAATTTTAAAATACATAAATTTATCAAATATCTATTCTTAATAGTTTGAGTAAAATTACTAACCATTACCTCTAAATTTTTATATTAAACAAGCACTTAGTTTGGGAATGGTAGAGTATATGAAACTGTAATATTTTTAATTTTTTAATATTATAAAAATATAAAAAATATTTATTATTTATTTTAATTAATATTTTATATATTTTTAAAACATTAAAGCATAAAATCGTACATGTTTGTCGTTCTCTCTTGAGGTTCTGAAGATTGAGTGATGAAATTGACAGTGAACTATATCTGAACTGGCAGAAAAAAAATTTATATTAAATTCACGAAGAAGACTTTGAATTGTTCAATTCATTATTTTTAGACGATTTGTCAATGGACCATGAACATCGGTTTTTATCGACAATATAAATGGTTTTATCGCGCGATGAGACAGTAGGATATTCACAGATACAACCGTCCCCTCGGTTGCCCATATAATTCTTGTCCATCAAAAACATAAATTAAAAGTTAAAAAAAAAAAAATACTTCAAACCAATGAAGTGCCATGTGTAGGTGCTAAAATTTCTTTGATAAATTAATTACTTTATTCATTCAACGTTAATAAATAGACCCTAATTTTTAATTTGAAGTACTTAAATTTATTTTTTTAAAATATCATTTAATGTATTTATTTTTATTTTAAAATGATAATTATAATATATATTA